GAGGGCGTGAGATGTCTCTATTAATCATCAGGACCGCAGGTTTCAATCTGAGCAAGCAACCAATTAAAGAATGCCATCTTATTATTTAAGATTGTCTCTTATCGTAAGTCGTAACGTGTCTGTGGATTTGCAATAACAAAATTATTTCTAACGTTTATGCAAATAGACATTTTATTTTTTATATAAAATATTTTAGTTTTTAACGTTTTATTTTAGAGTAAAATTCTCTTTGATTAGATGAAAATTATTAGTTGACTAACGATCAATGCTTTTTATTGACATGGCAGGTCTATGTGTGATATCATGTCATAATAAAATTTTTTTTAAATATTTTTTTATAAGAGTATATGTAATTAGTTACAATTATAGTTTACTTTAAAAATAGTTTTTTGTCTGCATGACATCATACATGGACTTGTCACGTCCGCATGAAATATTGATCGTTAATCAACTAACGATATTCATCTAATCAAATTTTACTTCAAAATGAAACGTTAGAAACTAAAATGCTTCCCGGTATAATTTGAAAATATATTATCTTTTTTTTTTTGTTAAAAAGTTGAAATATTTCACTTTTATATCATCTTGTTTAAAATGAAATTATTGTTTAAAGTTATTATTTGCACTATGTACATATATTTATATTATCAAATACTTATTTTTAAAATATATTATATTGTTTTTGTTAAAATGTCGAAATATTTCATTTTTATATTTAACTTTTTCACTTGGAAGGTACTGGTTAATGGGAAGATTGAATCCTAAGAATCTTGAAGTTCTAGGTTTGAGTTGCACTATGTACATGTAATATGTGTGAGTTTTTATTTATATTTTATTTTGATTTAAGTTCCAATAGCTTGTGTTTTAGTTTTTTTATAATTATTCTAATATTTATAATTTGCAATTATGATAGTTGTATTTCTAACTTTTGTTAGACTTTATGGTTCAACACAAAAAGTTCGTGGTGAAATCTACTTGGTAAAAAGTAAAATAGGTGACAAAAAATATAAGAATTTATGGTGAAAGTGTGGATTCTTGGGTTGATATTAATACAATTTTATTCAAGTAAAATTAATGTGTATGTACACCTATATATATATATATATATATATATATATGTATTTAGGGTTTTAAGATTTGACGTAGTCAGATAGTTATCGTAAATATATTCATAATTTTATAAATTCATAGTCAATACAAGACATTAAAACTTAGGGTAAAGTACATAATTGATCCATCGACTGTAGAATATTACTTTATTAAGTCATCGACCACTAAAAGCTATAAAATATTCTCCAACTATAGAGAATTCTTTTGTTGAGTCCCTTATTATTAAAAGTTACAAAAAGGTCACTTGAATATTCATTATGTTCATAACACGTCTTTTTCTGTTAAAAAATTCACAATAGTTTGAGTTGGACGTTAATCTGGTGACTGAGATATGATAAAACTAGATCTCACAATCTCGAAAACTATAATATCTCAGTCTGCATGTTAACATTAAGCTCAGATGACCGTTAATTTTTTAACGGAAAATGACGAGTTTGGAACATAATGAATAGTGAGATGACCATTTTATAACTTATAATAGTTGATGGGCTCAACAAAATAACTCTTTATAATTAATGGACCTTTTTGTAATTTTTAATAGTCTAAAAACTCAACACAGTAATATCCTATAGTGGGGGACCATTTGTATACTTTACCCTAAAACTTAATGGAAATACATAGTCAAATAACATGATTTTTTTTTTTCAACAACACAATTTCACCAAATGTACGAACCCATTCTTTAAATTTGGTATACCTTATCTCGCTGAAAAGGTTTCTCCTAAATCATCAAAACTAACGAAATCATTGACCTCAATGCAACCCCGTTTGTTGATAACCAGTCTTACACTATGCTTGTAATTTAATGAAAAATCCATTGATCCTTGGTTTGTAATACATGGAATGGAAATATATATGAGGCGAATAATTATGTTTCCTTTCTTTTTCGATTAGCTAAAAAGATATTTTATTTTTAAAACAAATATTATAAGTCATATTCACACAAAATAAAATAACATAAGTATTATTGATAATTCGATTAATTAATGATCTCTAATCACATTTTTTAATCTCTCATAAAGGAATCGTTATTGTTTCTAGAGATCATGAACTCAAGCACTAGCGACTACAGGAATGATTAAACGTTCATTGTCAATTAATTGAGAGTACTTAAAATATATACTAATTTGTAATCACTTTTAGATTAATAATAATAATAATAATAAATCTCTCATGAAGGTGTGAGAATAAAACCCTAAAATTGTCGGCGTTTTGCACCGACGAAAACATTTCACCAAGCATTAAGTAGTTGGGTAACGAGCACATCAATTTTTGTAAAATACTTTTGCAGTAATTTTCAATGGAACAATTTATGAATATCTGAAAATAAAAGGTAATGTAATGATATTTTAAAAAAAAAAAGTTAACGTATATATTTTTTAAATTAACTACTTATTTTTAATCTATTATTGATTATCAAATTTTACAGGGGCCTATTATGGAAACAATTCTTTCAATTCAGGTTACTTTATTTGTAATTATCTGAATTCGAAATCCTGATTTTACTTAAAGAATTTAATGTTTCATCACACTAGACAAACTGGTTGTTGGTAAAATTTTCATCGTGTTTTTTATATATCTTGATATGTCATTCTTTTTTGACAAGATAGAAACCGCTAGTTTTATTAAAAATAAAAAATATCCAAATTACAATGAAGGTTTATAACCACAATTGTAAGCTAAACATATAATAAAGATATTTTCCTATAATCATTAACACAAGAAACTAGTCACTTGAGATAAAACAAGGACCATACAAGGAAAAAGTTAAAAAAACATAATCAAATAAACTCAAATAAAAAGTAGATAGAAACATATTTGACCACATCGATAAACAAATCATAAAAAGAGACCAAGTTATTGAAAGGCTACCAACAAACCACAAATCAGAAATAAATGACGTAAAAAAACTATCCACGAACGTAAATCGTGTATCCAAATCTAATTTGAGGGTTCAAAGAAGAAAAGATCTACATTATAACAAATAAGCGCCATTTTGATCAGTCGTGATGATGTCAAATCTAACCTTAAGAAAAAAGATAAACGAAAATAACGACTAAACGACAAAAAACGTGCCAAAAGATAAAAGGCATTGTATCATAAAAGCAAAGAAAACAGACTATAAAGACATAGTTGTTAAAAATTAAAAAATAAGAAAAATAAGAAATATAATATAATAAAATGAAATGAAAATAATGAATACTGAAGATCTACCGTTAACATTATGATTGGTGTCATTATCGATTATAAAAATAAAGAAGAAGACAAAGACTAGTTGCGGCACAAGAAAAAAAAAACTAAAATTAGAGTCATTCTAAATGAATTTGATTCCTAATTTTAGGAATTTTCATTCTATTCATATACACACAACTATCCAAATCACAGCTTAGTATTAATCACAATTATTTCAAATATAAATCTAATTGAATAATCATGACTCTTCACTGGTCAAGAGATACAATTTTTAATAATTAAAATTTTATATTTTTTTCACTTATAATTTTTAAGTTTAGTTACAAACTTTCACTTGTAATTCATTAGAATATTATATATGTTTTAAAAATGTTCCAACAAGTTTCATGTTCAAAACCCGATACTTACAATTCCTTATTTTATATCGTGTAAAAACAATTCAGGGTAAACTACACATTTAGTACCCGATACAAGGATCATACATGAATCATACAAGAAAAACGTTAAAAATTCATTTAAAAATTCGAACAAAATATAGATATTGATTGCATTTGTAAACAAACCACAACAAGAGATTAAACTATTGAAAGACCATTGATAATCGCAAATAAGAGCCGAGCGTCGTGAGAAAACCATCTCCAACGTAAATCACGTATCGAAATCTAATCCGAGAGTTCAAAGTAGGAAAAATCAATAAAATAACAAAAAAAAACTCCATCTTGATCAACCAAGGCGTCATCAAATCTAACCATGAAATTAAACATTAAAAAGTTCTAAACGATCAATAAAGAAAACTGAAAACATGTAAAAAAATAGAAGAAAACGTGTCATAAAGGCATAAAAAAGCATGTCATAATAATAGAGTTATTAAAATTTAAAAAGTAAAGATACAATACTAAAAGATAAAAGAAAAATAAAGAAAACACATAGTCGATTATTAGATAAAAGATACATTAAGTTTTTTTATTATTCTATCGTTAAATAGTTAATGGCATTAGAACAATGCGGTTTTAAAAGAACAAAAATTTTATCAAAACGACGTCGTTTTGTATCTATATAACAACTCATTTATAACGTCGTTAGTGAGAAAACAACTGAGTGACCAAGAAAATCCAATGTATTAAGTTCAGTAAGTAAATTGAAAAAATTTAAAGTACAATGAATTAAATAGGAGAGAAAATAAAATCAAATTATCAAATTTATAATTTACCCAACTTTTTAGTGTCAAGAAACAAAGAAAAACTGAAAATGATAATAATAATTTATGAATTTAGAGCCCAAACATATAATCATGATGTTTCATCCTAAACATAAAGAAACAATAGGACAACGTTAGAAAGGGGAAGGGACCCTTTTCCAAATATTTTTTGGCCGGTAATAATTGAATATTGTCTAAATCCGGTAATTATAATCGATGTAGATTTAGAAATATTTTCATGGTAAATATATATAGGTTAATAACATAAAATTTTTAAATGGGGTGGATACAATTAAAATTTTAAAGTATGTATCATTAATAAAATAGACAACTAACTATATAAAATTTGAATTTTAAGTAGACACGTATCCATCTTTAGATACACGTAGATACGTTACTGAATATAATATCTTATAGTATGATTGTAAAACAAACATAAAAGTTCTCATAAAATAAATATTAAAAATATATAATACTTTAAATACGATTATGAGGATATAAGTGGAAGCAATGATTGTATGATCAACAGGTTGAGAAAAAAAAAAGAATGGGAGGCGTTGCTTGGACTGAAGAAGAAGATCAGTTGCTCAAGAAATGTATAGAGCGGTATGGTGAAGGGAAGTGGCATCGTGTACCTCTTTTGGCTGGTAACAATCACAAATCTGAAATTTATGTTTATAAATTAGGGTCTTTTTCATCTTATAAATTAGGGTTCGTCTCTGCAAAATTCTGCAATAGTTGCAGATTGCCACATGCATGTTTCAGGGTTATTGATCAGTGTTTTTTTGTTTGTCAGTTAACTTTAAGAGTACTGTCACTTTCTGACCCCAAATCAAGTGTTTTTACATGCATGCAAATACATGTAGATCTATGCAAATACCTTTGTCCATGTCCTTTAATTTGGTGTTGTTTAGGTCTAAACAGGTGTCGTAAGAGCTGTCGACTGAGATGGCTAAATTACTTACGCCCAAACATCAAAAGAGGAAGTTTTGCAGAAGATGAAGTTCAGCTCATCATTAAGCTCCACAAGCTCTTGGGGAACAAGTAAGATCTTTTAGTATATTAATTATTTCGATTCGAAAAGCTTATGAAAGAGTAATTAATATTTGATAAACTGATTAATTTACAAGTTGAATAATTCGTTGTCGACTTATATGTTACTGATCTCAGGTGGTCACTGATTGCTGGGAGACTCCCTGGAAGAACAGCAAATGACGTTAAGAATTTTTGGAATTGTCACCTGAGCAAGAAGCTCTGTGCTCGAGAAACCGAAGAGGAATGTAATCAAAGCGCCATGAACGTCGAAACGATAACACCGCATCCGGCTCGTAGCATTTCGATGACGGGATCGACCAAACAAAGAACCCAAGATTATCATGTTGCTCCGAACAGCCTGCCGGCGATCAAAGAAAGTAGCATGTCGATGCCTTTCAACTTCTTCGGAGTCGATCAACAAGGCCATGATCAGCTCGTGAAAGAAGAAAGGGATATAAGAGTGCAGGAGCCTGCTGGCGGATTATTTATCGGCGATTTGACGACGGAAGATCATCGGTTTGGTCAGTTTGATGAAGTTAATGTATTGAGTAGGGCTGATGAAGGATGCAGCAAATGGGATTGGGATGACTTGATGTTAGACATGGATTTATGGACTGATTCATTGTGAATGTGATTTTCATAAGTGGCAATAATCAGACCATTTTAAATTCTTAGTAGAGTGCACTAATATATATATATATTGGATGTTAATTGGGTTTGTAGGACTTAGCTGCATCAATATAAGAAAGACATTTTATATATAGTATAAATTTTGAATTAATATTTGATATACAGCCAGAAAAAATAATTTCACAGATACAATGATGCAAGTGCTTCGGCATATTAGACGAGAAGCTGAGATATGGCACAAGCTGCTCGTCTAATATGCTTTTCCCATGGTAAAACCGTAAAAGTGTTAAATTTCCACGTAGAACATCGGGATTTACTCGTAACGAAGGGGTTCGCTGGAGGCTTATAGTTCGGCATAGTGCTACTGAAAATTCAATCTAGTTGCAGAAACTCTAGGTACTCTCGTTTAATGAAGTCTAATATGAGTGCTGCGTCGATGTCAAGAACTCGAGATGTTCAAATCAGCTTTCAAGAAGAACAGAGAGGAACTTCTCTTCATGTAGCAGCAATGGAAGAACACCTAAGGTAGTATTGGCTTCTAGATGCGTTTCTTACTAAATAACAACATTCCTTCCTAAGTTGGTGTTTGTATCTTTCTGTTTACATTTATTCTTCTTTAAGGAAGAAGAGGCATTTTCATTTTCGATGTCTACCGTATCCAGTTTCATAGAACAAAGGAGCCAGTCACAGATTGCGAAAATGGTTGGATTGCTTGCATGTGCATACTTGGTGATTCCATCAGCTGCAGCTGTTGATGCTCTAAAAACGTGCACTTGTTTTAAGTTTTTAACTTTAGATTGCGTTCCAAGTCCATGGAGGTAAAGTTTCCATTGTCATCTAACTCGATGCAAAATATTGTTCTTGTCAGGGTAGAGCTTGCTAAGTGCATCGCCAACCCTTCGTGTGCCGCAAATGTTGGTTGCCTCCAGACCTGTAATGATATAGACTGGACGAGACCGAATGCCAGGTTAGTTCTGAATGGTTCTTGCAGATGATTTATGTCTATTGATAGGGGAGTTTATGCCTGAGAGATACATATTATGCTTTTCATAGACTTATTTATATCAGCACTTCTGCAGATCAAATGTGGTGACCTCTGTGAGAACAGCGTTGTAGACGAATTTAACGAGTGTGCCGTCTTACGCAAGAAGTGTGTGCCCCATAAATCCGATCTAGGCTAATTCCCTGTCCCGGAGCCGGCTGTTCTAGTTGAAAACTTCCACATTGCAGATTTTACTGGGAAATGGTTCATCAGTAGTGGTTTAAATCCTACCTTTGACACTTCTGACTGCCAACTACATGAATTCCATACAGAAGGTGGCAAATTGTAGGCAATATTTCTTGGAGAATACGAACACCGGATGGTGGTTTTTTCACTCGATCAACTGAACCCCGGGATTCTTTACAATCATGAGAATGAGTACCTTCATTATCAAGATGACTGGTAACATCCGTTTCCATATATTTGCTGAACATTAAGTATTCAATCACATTTGAGGGAAGCAGTTCACATATGTGTGCTTAAAATTTATAATCTGATGCTACTATAAGGCAAATTGTTCGAGTTTTGAAACCTCTGATTATGGTATGCAGGTACATTATATCATCCAAAATAGAAAAGAAACCGGATTATTATGTATTCGTATATTATCGGGGAAGAAACAATTAATGCATGGGATGGATATGGTGGTGCCGTTGTATACACGAGAAGTGCCGTTTTGCCGGAAACCATTGTACCTGAACTCGAAAGGGCAGCTCAAAACGTTGGCAGAAACTTAAACAAATTCTTCAAAACCGATAATACTTGTGGCCCAGAGCCTCCCCTCATTGAAAGACTCGAAAAGAAAGTAGAGGAAGGAGAGCAGACACTGATTAGAGAAGTCGAATTGATAGAAGAGGAGGTGGAGAAGGTCGGGAATACGGAACGGACGTTGTTCCAGAGGTTGTTTGAAGGTTTTAAAGAGCTGCATCGAGATGAAGAAAACTTCTTAAAAGGGTTAAGTGAAGAAGAGATGGAGCTGTTGAACGAGCTGAAAATGGAAGCGAGTGAAGTTGAGAAACTCTTCGGAAATGCACTGCCGATTAGGAAGCTACGATAGATTGTTTCGCAAGTAATTCAACACAGTTCAGTTACAATCTTTTGTATTAGAAACTGTACAGCTCATATCACTATAAGTCAAATGGATGTTCAATCAGTTCCAAGAAAAAAGACGATCACAGTTTGATTCCATTTTTTAGAATTTTTTAAAATTATTTTGCTAATTTAATTTGATTCGGTTTTCAATTTTTCATGTTAAATTTAGTTTGGACTTTTTGGATTTTATTTTGACAAATTTGTTCTATAGTTTGTTACATCTTATATATAGTTTTAAGACTCTACTTTATTGAGTCTTTCGACTATTAAAAGTTACGAAATGGTCCCTTGATTATAGGACATTGTTTTGTTAAATCTTTTGACTATTGAAGTTACAAAATGGTCATCTAACTATTCATGTGTTCTAAACCCGTTCTTTTTTATTAAAAAAATTGGTGTTCTTCTGAGTTGGAAATTAACTTGTTGATTGGGTATAATAAATCTGATCCTAGAACTGCTTGAGAAGTATTTTTTATGGATCAACTATTTGTTTACATTATACTGACGAGCCATGCTTGAAAGATTATATAGTCGAGCTAGCTCTTGAAAGCAACTGTGATGTCGGACTATCAATGAGCATTATTAAAATATTATTTTATCATCTCTTAGCCAATATGTTAATGTCTAATTTAGTCGACTGTTAATTTTTTAACGAAAATGATGAGTTTGGAACACATGAATAGTCATGTAACCATTTTGTAACTTTTAATAGTTGAGAGACTCAACAAAACAACATCCTATAGTCAATGAACCATTTTATAACTTTTAATCATCAATGACTCAACAAAACATCAACCTGTAGTCGAGGATCATCTATGTACTTTACCCTTAATAATGATAGTATAATGTTTTTATTTTTACTATTTAAAATATAAAATATTTTTATATTAAAATCTATAAAGTAAATAAAAATAAAATTTGATTTCATTAAAATAATCATATTTTTTAAAACTCATAAATCGTAAAATGTTATAAACATTACGAATGGAATTAATATTAATCTAGACTTTTTGAATTTTCGTGTACCAAAAAAAATCATTTCTTTTTGAAACTTAACCCGCAAGGTGAGGCAACAAAAATATAAAGCAAAGACTAAGCATGTATGACATGCCAAACATCTACCTCATACGAGAGGTAATGGGGCAATTATTCATTGCGTTAGAGTTTACTCAAATTTAAAATGAAAACCCAATTCTAGGTGAAGAAAGAGGAATGAAAGCAACATTTTAATATCAATTTTGTTGTGAAGGTCGATGATTCACTATCAAAGTGGCCAAAAAGTTGAATGTCCAAAGTGATCAATGTAAAAGTTCAATGACAAAATTGATACATCTGTAAAGTTCAGTGCCTAAAATTGAACCTGTTAGAGTCTTCATACCAGCTCCCAAAGTATCCCAAATAAAACATTTTCATTAAGTAAACAGAGATATCATAGATCAAAATAGAAATCAGAGAAAACATTTATGTGATCAGGGAACTTACTAGAGGTTTTAGATATGGTTTAGAGTTTTTGGATAATCTTATCATACTGAGAAATATGGATCTTCAATATACCGATAGAATATCGGAAGTTAGAATACTATCAGAAGAGTTCATTAGTTGATGGAATCATCAGTTACTCATAATGTGATTTATCAGGATCATATAGGATTCAGACGTTTTTCAGAGGAACTAAGTAATCAGAAGTGTATTCAGAAATCCTTTGCATCTAAGTTACTTGTGTTTTCAGATATGACCAGAGTGATTTGAGCTGATAAGGGAGAACGAAGATTCAGAACATTTACCATCTATGTCGATCGATCGGATTATCGAATAACTCGATCTGAACAACTCACATAACTAATACTTGTTGATTGGTCAATTCATTGCTCTTCTAGGGTATTCAATCATTCCTAGGCTTGGTGATATTCTTGGGTCATTTGTATTCTAAGGGTATTTTGGTCATTTTATAGATCCATAATATTTCAATCCTTTCATTCTATCCGGTCTTATTATTTAATTCAAACTTATAATCTATTTCAGTCCTTTCGAACGATTTTGACAAAAGACCACCCTCGATAAATTATTCTTCAGGTATTTACTCATAACTCAGAGATTTTCATGTCAATTGCCTTCTCAAATATTACGGACAGATTATCATAAATTTTCTATACCGAAGTAGAATCTTAACAATTAAATTAGTAATTTATCGGGTTAGGTATGAATTCTCAGGTTACTTTTGCATTCAGGGTCAACTCGGACTATTTTTATCTCTCAAGGGCATTTTTGTATTTTCTTAACCAAGTAATTTCGGTATTAGAACTCTGAACAAGGATAAATAGAATTTAAAGATCCTAGGGTTAATTGTTTTTCCGAATAATCTCTGAACTCAAAATTATTCCATATCAAACTTCTAATTTCTTGTACAAGCCATCAAAATTTTATTCAATTACCGACTTTTTACAGAATTCAGATCGAGTGTAGGAATTATTTAACTACCCATATGATACCAAACATTTTCATTCATGCATTTACCAATACCAACATGTTCCATGAAGCATAAAAAGGTAGTAATGTATTACCATAGTTTTTGTGCCATATCGATCGACCAATTAATCTCCATTCGATCACTCTCGAACTTGTAATCAACTTCCAATAATTACTCAAATATATAACAACATAAATTTCATCATAATCGGAGCTTAATTGCGAATAATGGATCGAATCGGGTAGTTAATCAGTGAAAAATAACTTATCGGGTTCGAATTTGGCGAAATGGACCTAAAAAACGGGCTCAGGACGTCAAAAACATCAAAATAGGTGTACCCAAAAAAAGTCAACGACGGTTAACGATTAACACTAATCAACTCGGCTCGGTCAGCTCGATCGTCTCGGTCAGACAACTCGGTCGACTCGGTTCACACGGCTCGA